CGTTCCAACCGGTTCGGTTGGAACGGGGCCGGCGGCGTCCTCGCGCACGGGCGCGGTGCAAACATGCATACTAGCGTCTGTGCGATGCTCCAGCTGCTCCTGGTGGATCACGCAGGCGCTGTATGCGTCCTGCGCATGCGTGGAAGCGTAGAACTCGTCAAAACCGGGTAAGGAGCGCGCGCGGGAGCGCGGGTGGGCCCTTCGCCGTTCCCGGACGTTACTTACTTCCGGGTTCGCCGACCAACCGGTTCGCAGGGACCGCCGCAAACCAGTTGAAACCCACCCCTGGAGTACGGGCCTGTCCCCACATGTGCTCGGCCTTCCGCGCATACGCTTTGATCGCATACGCGGCTTGAGCGCATGCTCACGGCTTGAAAACGTGCCTAAATAGGACGGCATAGAGCCGGGGCAGATGGGCATGCTCACCCGCGATTTCCACTACCAATTTGGGTGAACCGGTCCGAACCGGCTGAATGCCACCTCTGTGTGTAACTCTTATTTGAGTTCCTTCACATATTCAAAACCGGGCACAGAGGGTGCGGTGCCCCCCTCACAGCCCATTTTTGGTCCAGGAGGCTTTAAGGAGGCCTGCTAGGAATAAAATCGGGCACGGGGGGTGCGGCTCCCTCTGTGGCTCATTGTTGGTCCCATGAGGCTGCAGAGAAGCCTACTAGGTCCAAAAGGGGGCACAGGAGGGGCTTGCTTGTGCGGGAATGGGAGGAGCATGGGGGGTCGTGTGTGCATGCACGGGAGGCGGGCGCATTGCATTATTTCAGCGACTTGAGCACGTGAGGAGAAAAAGGTGAGCCATCACTGGTATAGTGTCTCCTGCTTGAGCGGGGGGTTGGCCTAAAGCCATCCAAGATATTCTGATCCACCTTGTGGTAGGGAACTCAATAACTTCATTGACTCGTGCAGAGAAAACGCTCCCTTCTATCTGCGCAAATGTCTTTTTCCTTGGTTTTATTGGCAAATTCCATCTATTTGGAATTCGTCTTCCCATGTTAATATTTCTGCCGGAATGTGAAAACTGAAATCTGCGTCATTCTAAGTAGACCTCTATGT